AGTGTTTATGTCACAGCCCTCCCCTTTTAGAACAAAAATCTTAGGTTTCGTGTTTTTTTTTTTTTTTTTTTTTTTTGTCATTGATAATCGCCGTTTTTAGCGTCCGTCCGAAGCAGATCACCGAACTTCACCGACATCCTAAAAATGAATAAAACCGAAAAACATCCGTTCATTTTTCCTATGGATTACCACCGTAAAACCTACGTCAGTTGAGTAATACTCTCGTGGCTAGTTTAGGAGCCAAATTACTTACTCCACTCCAGCAGGGCTGTGCTGCTTCGGCGGCCCCGAAGACTGTGTTTTGCAAGAACGGTCAGTGACGCACGTTCCCAGAGGGTACCTGGCCACCAAGATGACGATGTTGGCGGCGACGAACGCCGAAAGCAGGAACGCGATCCAACGAGACCACCCAGACATCTTCAGGCGGTTTACAAGGGGCCCTACGGGAGGGGAAACAAACGTCATATTAAGCGCGCCTGTGTCCCTGAGACTGATTCAGTGATTGCTGCAGCGCGGCAGTGAGATTAGCGCACCTGTGCCAGCATTGCGAAGGCATGGGCTACTTTCCACGCTCCCAATGAGCGCAGCTGTACTTGAGTGGGAGTAAATGACGAACAGGCAGGAGGGAGGGGGGGGGGGGGGGGTGCGCTCGGTCTGGGTTCTGACGAGCGGAGCCGGGAAGCGGGAACCCGAACAACTACGCCAACTGCCGTATCTTGCGAACCTACGTTTGTCCCCTAATATTATTTCTTTCCTGACTGAGAGATGACTTCTCCCCTACTGCTACCGTCTACCCTCTTTCACCTCAAAAACCGTAAAGAAAAAAAAAAAGATTGGGCATTTTGCGAAACGCTACTTCTTTCGCGTTTTCTGCGGGGAAGTATCGATGAAGCCTGAAGCCGCAGGCACACTGCCTCATCAATGTATACGAAGTTCCCGGAGTCCGAATGACGCCACCAGATGTGAAGCCGGGGGAGACTTCGGCTGATGAGCCGAATGCAACGATACCCGAAACCGAACGAAACCAAAAGACGTCATTGGACGGAAAGGTCACCCTTGGGGACGTTCCCACCGACATCGATTTCTACTTCCTACTTCACTTTGGGTTTTCTCGCTTGGCTGCCTTGATCCGGTTAGAGTAACTGCATAGACCTTTCCAGCGGCAATCTCGAACGAAGCATGTCCCTTTTTGGATTTGGATTTGGATTTGGATTTAGTGGCGTCCCCTTTGTAACGGGTGGCCGCTCGCCGGAAGTTCCGGCGATGGCCTGCCAAAAAAAAAGGCTTGCTCAGCCTGGTTTTTAGCCAATCCTAGCCGAGTTCTTGTTGTGTTGGAGCTTCGGTTGGGTCCACGGTGTGGGGCAGGTCGACTTGGGCGGAAAAAATCGGTTGTCCGGCTTGCGCTTGCACGTCCGGCCCAGCTCGCCTCTCCCTCTTCCACAGCCGCCAGGAAATCTCCCACCACTGCTCTAGTCGGCGCTTGGTGGTCTCGACGTGTTCCTCGCCGTCATCCCCCAGCTCCGCCGTCCGGAAGCCCAGCGCGTCCGGCAGATGGTCCACCTGGGGGTACGGGCTGAGGGCCTTGCACTGCAGCACCAGATGTTCGGTTGTCTCCTCTGCTGCTCCGCAGGCGACGCAGGCGATTGGGGCCCCAGCGTCATATCGCGACCTCCACAGCCTGGTCTTGAGGGTTCCCGTGCGTGCCTCGAAAAGCAAGCCGCTGCCCCTGGGTCATCGTACAGCTGCTCCCGCTCGATCGCCCGCTTCGAGGCCGCATACACAGTCATTGATGGTTTTCGTGTGGCCGACTCCGTCCACCTTCGCGTCTCGACCTGCCGCACGTGCTTCTTGAGGTCCGTAACCCCCTCTCGGAGCGGCCGGCCGCCCAGCAGGGTCGGTGGTACCTCATACTTCCCCGCGAGCCTGGCCACCCGTTTGGTCAGACGCGTGTTTACACTCCTGTACACGAGGTACTTAAACACCCTCCTGGCCCATCACTCCTCTCCGAGGCCGCAAAGACGCCTCTCGTAAGTCAGCTTAGCCACCGCTTCCCTCGACTCAAAAGGAGACCATCCGAGGTCCCCCTGCACCCCTTCGTTTGGAGTCCCCCTGTGTGCCCCGAGTGCCATCTGTTCCGCCTCCCGCTGTCGAACCTCTAGGAACTCCCGAGTCTGAGACGACGTGCACAGCACCCGATTCGCAAAAGTCAGTCCGGGCACCATCACCATCTTCCACAGGCTACGAGCAACCTCGTAGCGGTCGAAAGCCCACATGGACGTTGCTGCCAGCACTCCCTTTCCCCTCATGGCCTTTGCTCGGACAGCCGATTCATGTGCCTGGATGTAGTTCCTACCCGTGGACAGGTGTACACCCAAGTACTTGTAGTCCGTGACACACTGCACAGTCTCACCCTGCAGTACAAGCGGTGTGTCCAAAGCCCCCTCTACATTCTCTGTAGGCCCCCACTTCAGCACTTTGCACTTACGGGAGCTGAACTTTAGGCCCAGTCTGTCCCCTTGTCTTGTGCATATGTCCAACAGCTGTTGCATCTCTTCACAGGTGCCCGCCGTCAGCACCAGATCATCCGCATAAAATAGTCCTGGAAGATGTTGTCTCACCATTTGCCCATTTTCCATGTAAGACAGGTTGAGGCCTCTCCCACACTCCTCCAGTTCTGCCTCCCATGTATTCATATATAACATGAACAGGAGAGGGGAAAGGGGGCATCCTTGTCGCAAGCCTCTTGTCACTGGGATTGGTTGCGTGTTCATGCCCTCCCATTCCACCACAACCGTTGTGTCCCTGTACAGCTCCTGGAGGAGCTCAAGCACTGAATTTGGCACTCCAATCTGTGTCAGTTCCCACCAGAGCCTTGAGTGGGAGATTGAATCATAGGCCTTTTCAATGTCCAAGAAAGCCGCCCATAGGTGTCTCCCCTCCTGTTGCACAATCTCAATTGCTTGGGTCAGCACATACAGGTTGTCCTCGAGCTGTCGGCCACTCCTGAAGCCGTTCTGGAGTTCGCCCAGTACATGTTTCTGCTCCGCCCAGCCTTGCAGTCTGCGTCTTATGACTTGCATGCCTACCCTGTACATAGTGGAGGTCACAGTAATGGGCCGGTAGTTTGTCAGGCCTGTCTTCTCTCCCATTCCCTTATATATGAGCTTCACTCTCCCGTGCCTCCAATCTTTAGGTACGTCTCTGCCGTGTAGGACATCTCCAAGTGCACCTTGTAAGGCTTCCTTCATCTTGGGTCCCATTTTCTTCAAGACGCTCATCGGCACCCTGTCCGGCCCCATGGCTGTGCCCGCTTGCATGTTCTGAAGGACTCTGTGCATTTCCACTTTCGATGGTTCTTCCAGCAAGTCAGAGTCTTCCGGGGTCTCTTCCCCCGTGTTGTTGCTCTGCCTTTGTGCTGACCCTCCCGTGCTAGGTGTAATCTCATATCGTGGGTCCCCTGGGTGTGCCTCCTCTTGGAGCAGTTTGGCCACAGTCTGTGACACCAAGCTGAGACACTCCTCGTCCTTGACGATTTCCAGGGTCAGTGGACTCTTCAGGTGTTGTAATGCTGTTGTTGGCCTTCCTAGGCGTTTCATATGCCTCCAGAATTTCCTGGGTGCTGCTCTTCCGCTTCGCTTTAAGTCCTGCAGTGTATGCCTCCCCACTGCCCTTCTTCTCCTTTGGACCACTTGTTTGCACTTTAGCTTGGCTTCTCTGTACTTCTCCCAAAGTTCCTTTTTCACTTTCCTTTCTCTCGCTGCCCGATGACACCTGCAGGCCTCTTGGCGAATGTTGATGGCTTCTCTGATTTCCGGGTGCCACCAGCTTTTTTAATTCCCTCCTCGTTGACATGCCCTTGCCTTTGTTCATCTTCTTAATTTCCATGCTAATGCAATTCACAATGCTCTCATAGGTCATGTCTCTGTTTGCCACCTTTTCTAGCTTACGGGCAATCTCTTCAATCTCGTTCTCTCGTAGAGCTCGCTCCCTTGGCAAGTTACGTGTAGCGCCTGTGGTCCTCGGTCCTCCGAAGATAGCCAAGATTCTGTTGTGGTCGCTGCCAACACTGACCGCACCCTCCTCGTCGATGGTAACCCTGACCAGTTTTCTACTTATCATCGGGGACATGAGGATGTAGTCGATGCATGACTTTCGGTCTACGGATACTCAGGTGTACTTTCCCTCACATGTGCTCAGTGTGTTTCCAAGTACCAAGTCATTGGTCTCTATCAAGTCAAGTAGGTACTGCCCGTTTCCATCCCTCCTACCGTCCAATTCCTCAATATGTGCGTTAAAGTTCCCCAGGAGAATTATGTCATCTCCATGGTTCCTCATCTCCTGGACGTCTTCATTCAAGCACTTGGCCATTTCTTTGTTCTTCTCCTTCGATCCTTTCCCTGTCCACCAGTACACGACGTCAACTGCCACCGGTGTTCCCTTCACTGTGCCCCTCATCCACATATGTTCACAGCACTCCACTTTTGTTCTGGACCATTGTTCATTGTCTCGGAAGAGGACTCCAACTCCACCTCCTTTCCTCATTTCACCTTGCCTGTTACAGCCCTCCCAAACCAGACCTGGGAAAATGGGTGGGCCTTCTTTTCCTCGTAGATGAGTCTCCGCCAGCCCAAAGATAGAGATTTCTTCTTTGTCCATCATGGCTGCAACCTCGTTCCACTTTCCTTCTCCCCGTCCTCCCTGCATATTTAGGAAAGCCACCTTCGTCCCTTTCCCCGCCACCTTTCTGTTTCGGCGTCTTCGTCTTCGCTCCTGTGACCTCTTCATTTGTCGATCACCCTTTCTCCCTGTGTCGAGGGGAAACCCTATGCTGGCTGGCGTCCCAGGACATGCCCCAGTTGGCAGTTTACCATGTGTGCCACCATTGAAAACAGGTGGGGGATAGGAGCTACCTCGGGTCTCCGTTGCACTAGCACTGGTGGCTGGGGCCCCCATTGCTGGGGGTGTGTGGGTTCCGGTAGAGGTGGAGGCGGGAGCCCTACGAAGGGGTTGGCCTGTGGAAAGCTCTGCTCTGCTGGGTGTTGTGGGCGGTGGGTGGGCCACGTTTTCTCTGTCTGTGACGTTGCCTCGTTTTGCCGCTGTTCTTGGTCGCCTGGACCGCACCGCTGTGGACGTAGCGGTTTTGCAGTTCGTACCCAGCTGGAGTAAAACGTCTGGTTCGGTATCTCCCTGCCTCGTGTTGTTGTCTCCTGGTGCTTGCTCCCTTGACTCTGTTGACTGGTCCGCTGTGTTTGTTTCACACTTCTGCCTCGTCTGCGCGTACCTAAAAAACGACTTATCACCCGGGCTAGGCGGTCTGCTACCTTCCTTCCTCCTTCCTGACTGTAGTGCAGTCCATCTCTGGTCATGTGCTCACGGTACAAGTCCTTGCTGAGGTTGGTGTATGTTGCCCTCAGCTCTTGGCAGAGGTCTCCCAACTTCACATTCAGTGACATGGCTGCAGCCTGAACTGCCTTTTCCCTAGTTGCAACCTCAGGCACTGCACAGATGGCTAGGACGTCACTTCGTTTCGACCATGTGTTCCTGAGATGGTCCACAATCTCTTCTGGCCTCCTTCCTTGCAGCAAATCCTTGATGCCAACATGGAGCACATATAGTCGGCGTACCTTTCGTGCCTGACTCTCATAATCTTCAATTAGTTTCTCGGCCACCTCTGCTGTTGCCTCCCTGTTGTACAGCACCTCCAGCCGTTGGCTATCGCCTACTTCCCTGTCGAGCGCGCGTGCGAAACGGGGTACGTTGTCGTCTCCGACTACAATCGCCTCTCGCGTCACACCCTGGGGTGGTCGCTGGAAGCCAGTTGTTGCATCACCCTTTTCTTCTGCTCCGTCCACGTGTTTCCGTTTGTCGCTTCGCACTCCGTCCGAACTCCTCGAGGGTAGCATACTCTCTAGGCTCTGTTGTCCCGCATCTGTCGTCCTTTCTGCAGCTTTCTCTTGCTCCACATTTCCCGCTGTGTTGACTTGTTGAGTGCTGGTTTCACCAGGTGCCTTCGTTTCTTCTCTGTTGCTCCGCTGGACTTCTAGGTCCTTTTCTCCGGCATTGCCTCGGTGGGAGTCCATGTCCCCACCGTCACGATTGCCATCGGATCGCACTGGTTGACACAAAACCCCCCGTCCACTGCCGGAGTGTGTCAGCTCTGGGGTAGCCGCACTGGCCGTACTCGCCACCTAGTCCTCTAACCGTCGGATCTGCTCAGTCAGGGAGCTCACCAGCGCTGTCAGCTCCTCTGTCCGCATCCCATGCATGTTTTCCAGCTCTGTCAGCCTCGTGCATATGTTGCAAATGGACGGGTCTGTGTCTTCCTCCACCTCCGAGACATCCTTGTAACGGCTTTCTTCCAGAAAGGCCCACCTCCTGCATCCGTCGCACTTTATGCGCACTTCGTCGCCAGATTCCCCGCTGCGCCATAGCCGTGGGCTCTGCTGGTTTTCCACTGGCTGTTTGTTATTCGCCATTTCTCCGTTTCGCTTTTTCGCCATTTCGCGAGTCACAATTGTACACAATCAAATTCGCCAGTCAGGAACCAACGTGCAACAACCGCCATTCATACGTACGCCCAGGTTGCGTCAGTGTTGCCCGACTGCGCTGGGCTGTGGGTTTTCTCGTTAGTGGGCCGTGGCAGCCTGCGTAAACGCAATTCCGGATGCTTGTGGCGGCCTAATTAACGCGTTTTGTTGTTTATTTTGTGTTCTATGGCAAACAGAATTTCTCGAGATTTAAAAAAAAAACAAAAAACATTGTACTAGTTTTGGAAACAAAAGTAAACGAATGAGAGCCATTTTTGTGAGATTCTGCGCGACAGAACAAATGCATTTGGAACGTTTGTGTCATTTCATGTTAATTTTTTACTAAACCACACACTCAGACGTGTCAATCTACAAAGGTCTTAACTGTCGAAAATAGTTGAAAAGGGTATAGCCGAGGTATGTGCGTATTCCCCGCTTACAACACAAAATTCAACGAGTCTCATCAATCGAACAACATATTGTACCATAGCCTCCTCTATACTCACAAAGCCCGGCAGTTCAACGACGCAGCCAGAGTGCCCGGTCGCAGATTTGGAGCGCGAGGATCTGGCAGCAGAGAGCATTTCTGGTATTCAGCGCACAGCTTCTGCAGCAGCGAGGACCCGAAACATGGTTTTCAAACCCGACAAGAAAAGAAGCGGTATCCCGAGGGACGCGAGAAGCACGAGCGGACATCCCACCGCTCGACACAAGTGTGTTTCGACGTCTCGCCGTAACCACACAAGTCGGAGACGCGGTCAAGGCACCATAACTTACACCGTATATATCAGCACCAAAGTTACCACTTGGCCACCTCGACCGCTACCATCATCGGCGCACCAGTTTCTAAAGTCGCCAGTGATGATAATTTTCTCTCCTGGTAACGTATATTTATTGTTCTCTTGTATAGTATTTTTTGGTGCATCTTTTCTACAACTTCATACTCCCTACTGCGAAATGATCTGGACAGTGAAACTATTAAAAAGAAATGAAAGAATGAATTAAAGTAATTTTATGCACATGTAAGATTAGCGTGTCTTTAAATGTATGATTTGGCAAAAGTTTTAGATGCCATAAACATCATTTGTTTGAACTCCGATCACCAAATATTTTTACAAATACTTCGCGTAGTGTGTTAGAACTAATGTCCCTGGGTCCTGGAAAAGAAGCGCCATTGCCTTCCCTACCCGCTAGCCGGACACAAGCAGGTGCTCACATACAGACGACGAAACCTCCCTAGGTGATTGGCTGATCGGTCTCAGTTGCCACGGCAACCGCCGCTTCGGTCCATTCAAATAGTGGAAGCTTCGAAAGGGTCGTTCTGTACCAATCGCGCCAAGATCGCTATGGAGTCTCATTACACAGAAAAAGCGCCTCGCCAATATCTTTAGCACTCTGAATGCAATCAACTTATCAATCATGCCTATCTCCACGGATCTATTGTAATGGCATTGCTGTTCTTGCAAATTTGAAAGCAATATATAGATTCATTTTTTTTTATGCCGCCAAGCACCATGCAACACCGCATCTGGTGGAGGTGCGAGGGAAACGTCTTCTGGTATGTGGATAACAAACTCTCGGTATACAAGAAACGTCTTTATAAACCAGCTTACGTTTACAAATAGAACGAAGGGCAGCGCATACGCGATAGGGTGTGGGCAAGAAGCGCTGACGTGAAACTGACGGTATACTAATTGACTTTCACGAGCGGCTTGATAGCCGAGTGGTACAAATAAATAAAATAGCTGATGTATGTACGTATTACTGACTACAGAAGAAAAAGAAAACAAATAATTGAGGTTTTCTTGGCTTTATACCAAAACCACAGTGTTTTTTTTTAATTTGTTTTTGTAGTCTTTGATACGTACTTTAGCTATTCAATAACTTATATCGCATCCTTGTCAAGCCCCTCCTAAAAGTTGGGGCCGTCTGTTCGATATCAGTGCGCAGTACGCCGAATTAAAATTCTGTGGTGCATTTTACCAGAGGAAAGAATGTAAGACGACACCTTTTTATTTTTATTTTTTATTTTTTAGAGTGTGCAATAAGAAAACACGGTTCAGACAGAGCTTGCAGACTGTCTTTTGAATGATGATGATGATGATGATCTCCACGCAATAAAGTTTACATGGGCAGAACGTAAGGGCGCAAGGGAGCTGGTGTATATCAAACGTTTTAGTGAGACGTTCTCCGTCCCTTCCTTGTCGTTGTCTGTCGATACCTCAGTCTCGGGTTCTTCACTAGTTTACATTGTCTTGTTTTCATTTCACCGCAAAAATAAATTACGCCTCGTCGAACGCTCATTTTCCGCCCAAAATGTAGCGCTGGCGCGATCTGACCCAGATGACAAAGTTTCAGAATCAATACGTTGTCTTACTTCGAAAGTTATGAGGGATTTCCTGAAGATTCCAACGGGTAAAACAGTGGCCGACTGAGTCCTCAATTGCATAAAGCTAAATGTGCTGCCAGTTACCGAAAATGGGCCCCATTTGTCCCAATGAAAGATCCACGAAATCAATGATAACTTTGATTGAAATAACGGTTAGTTCTACAGACGTTGGCATCTGGGTCGAACAGCTAGCGCTACATTTGGGAGGAGAGTCAGCGTCTGACAATGATCGTTTATTTTTCTGAAAAATAAATAAAATATTGTTTTTTTCACATTGGTTATTACCGTGGCCGCGGCTCAATAGATGGCGGCTCTTTTTTTCTTTTTCTTTTTTTTTGCGGTAATTTTTGTACAGTGTCTCGGAAATACTGCGGTCAACATAGTCGAAGTGGTACACCGCGTATACCATGTCCTAGTGCACTGCCGGCACCGCCAAGCAGCTTTTATTGGACACCGTCTGCTTCTTATCCAGTAAATAAATGATTACTGCCTGATGGCAGTCTTTATATATCTACTGAATTATTTACGCAATTTGTCGACTCTTTGCTCTACTACGAATTACCGAAGGGTCTGCTTTTACCAGTGCTTGACAAGATAGTAAAAAAGTATTCAAAATGACTTACTAAATACGTGCTCCGTAAACTATTTAGAGTGCAACTCAAGACACATTTGCAGCAAAATATCTCGAACAGAGTACAAATACTTGAAAATGTAATTCAATGATTTCAAGGATACTTTCACACTGCGTAATTATTATCGACTTCAGTGACACTCAGAATGATTTATTTGCAAGCAACGGAAGCAAACAACACAAAAATCGCGGTGCTATTTGACTCATGAAAACCGCAGTGCGAAGAGCAGCATCACTTGTGTATGTCGCTGAAAATCACATGTTCTGCTGTGTTCATAAATTTTATAATGTGCACCTTGGGCGCACCATTTTACTAAGCGCAGTAGTCACCCGTGGTTTAAGCTAAACAAATTAAATATACGCAACCTAATGACCGGATGATAATGACGGCCCACGTATCAAAGGCAAGGCACTTGCCGTGTCATCTTCAAGTAAATCCCCCCAAACGCTGCGTTTAGATTTGACTGACCTTCGAAATAGAGGCGCACAGGGACATAGACAAGAACTTCTCTGTTTCACAGGATTGTGGAGTTTTGTATTGTTTTTCCCTTCATACAGGAAAAAGAATTCAACACGGGCTGAGCTGGCTCCTATAGAGCTTATAAGCTTTTGGAGCCCGCTCAGAAAGGCGAATACCCTTGGGATGACACTTCGTGAGCATTTTCAGAGTTCACACTGCTCGCAACCTGCTTGCCTCGTTGCAGATACAGCAACAAGACAGTTGTTGCAATACCTGTCCTCATGAAAAGGTCGCCTTATCAGTGTGTCACGATTTTTGTCGCTGCAAGTTCAAACAACAAAAAAAAAGTCGTTGTTTTTTCTCCTTTTTTTTATCAATTTGAGCGTGGATAAAGGGTCCTGGCTTGTTTCCTGTTCAGTGTTAGCTCTATTCCGCTTCAAGTTTGCAATCGGTTCCATTTTGCGTTGGGGTGAGTCGATTACTATATGCGTAAAACCTTTCCACGACAAATGTTTTCAAAATATTAAAAATAATGTATTTGAGATGATCAGTGAAAGATACTGAGAATTGTAACTAAAATAGAGCAATAATTAGTCTTAGATCAAATGCATTTGCAAGAAAAACATTCTGCCACAAGTAATTGAAATACAACATTTTAAGTAGATAATTTGAGATAGGCACAGGGTCTGGTTATTACATAGAAAAATGCTGCTTCTTCATAGACGGAAGTAAGAGTAATATCAGACTCAACTTTGACAGTGGTGGTTTATGAATGTGATGACTCCAAACATCCACTAAGTTTATTTACACGCACCATCGAGCGTGTTGTTTGCCACTCATAATCCTGGTCGTGCCATGTTGAGGAAGCATAGGGGGTTACTACCGAAAAACATCTCGCCGACAATAAAGGCAAATATTACGCGGGTCACACACCGAGGTGGAGGGCCTTAGAGTGATAAACTGGGAGCTGAAAGTGACTTCCAATTGGCCGCCGCCATGCTGCACATTTTTGACCACTAGACACGTGACCTTATGGTTTTATCTCTAGATTTTAATGAGCTTGCCGCGCACAG